AAGAAAGAAAGAAAGAAAGAAAGAAAGAAAGAAAGAAAGAAAGAAAGAAAAGACAGAAGGTAATGAAGGAGCAGTTTTTATGCAAAATTACAAGATAACAACTATCACATAAGACACTCAGACCACAACCTGCACAAGATCCCCAAAAACCTTGCACAAAGAAGTGCTTCTACAGGGGCATCTGAGTGACAACTGTCTATTCAACCTTACACTGGTACCACCCCTTTATTAGTCTTTGTAGCCAATAATTATTTTTCAATATTTCTTCTGTAGTCCCCTACTTATAACCGTTTATTTTTTATCTGGTGCTCAAAAGCTTTTCCTACCTCAGCCTCTCAAGAACTTAGTAGCACAGGCATGACCCACTGTGATCAGCTTTCATTTCACCTTGAAATCATCCTTTACCTCCTTAAATATGCTCATAGTTTGCTACAGAATGTGTATTTCCATTGCAAATGTCTTCTATTCCCAATTAAATGTCAGTATTCTTTGGAGAATCCCTGCCACTCTGTTATTTAGGTTTGCCTACTTGATTTAATGTCCTTATAAGTGTCTATATAGTAGTTTGTATCAAATATTTATTTGTATGGTATTGATTCTAATACAGTCCCTTCAGTGATGAAAAAAACTTGCCAAAATGTTCACCTTTGATCTGTAACCAGGTCAGTTAGTAGGCATCTATTATAMGGTATTTGCCTAGTGGAATATGTGAAACAGTAGAAATTACACTTAAATGATACTTACTTCTTCCCTTTGACCACTTCATAGGAACTGGTGTATTTCCTTTTGTTAGCAAAAAGTTCCACCATTTCAGGGATATAGTTCGCAAATAATATCTAAGAGGATCAGCAAATAAAATGTTAGGTCTCATTATATTTTATCAGTGCATTATAGTCATACATAATATTGGGGTTTATTTTGACACACTCATCCAAGCATGGAATATAATTTGTTCTACCTTCAGTCCCCAGTACTTCTGCTCCAAAACCCTCCCCCTGTTCTTCTTCCTCTATTCTACTGGTCTTCCTTCAATTTATTTATAGCTTTTAAAAAAGCAGAAAGATGAAATTCACTGTGGTATATTCATATATATCCATAGCATATTCTGGTCAATTCAATTCCACCATTCCTCTCCTTTCCCATCCCTCTACTTCCCCATCAATCCCCTTCTTCTGTTCCATTGATCTTTTYTTTTCATGAAATTCCTCTCTATTTTCCCCCCTTATTTCAGTCTAGTTTCCTTGGTAGAYACCCCCCAAAAAACTAGAATCAATATACCGTAGTGATATAGTAAGATATGGAACCACCTGAAGTGCCAGTGTRCAAATGAATGGATAAAGATAATGTGGCATATGTACATACAAAATGGAGTTTTACTCAGCTATAAAGAATTAAATTGTGTTGGTAAATGAATGAAACATGATGCTTTATGACATAAGCCATATTCAAAAAATGAAGGGTTGAATGTTTTCTCTCRTATGTGGAAAACTAGACCAAAATAAGGTCTCATTATTTTTACAAATGTYCCAAAATTCCAAGAATATAAAATTTAAAAAGTCATGTACAACTTTCTTCCATCTAGCAGGGGATATGACAGTTATCTGCATTTTAAAAGGGAGACCATTTTTCTTGATTGGCCTTTGGATCTGGCTAAAATTTAATAAAATGTTTTTCAGCATACAACATGATAAAGCAAAGGTAAGGGGAAGGTCACTTCTCTTATGGTTTTGCCCTTCATAACTTTCAATTCCCTTCTTGATTCTGACTTTGCACTATTTGGGCCTTGGAAAAAATGAAAGGATCATGGGGCTGAGGGAGCTTAAGAGATAATGATTGAGATGAAAGGATGTAACACCATGGACAGGAGGGTATGAGAAAGAAGATGCAGTACAGAACTCTTATTTTTTTATTTTTTTTTTTCCTTTTGGTACCAGGGATTGAACTCTGCAACAATCAACCAATGACCTACATCCCCACCCACTCCCTTTTAAAAATTTAGAGACAGGGTCTGGCTTAGGGCCTTACTAAGTTGCTTAGGTCTTCCCTAAGTTGCTAATGCTGTCTTTGAACTCATAATCTTCCTGCCTCAGCCTCCTGTGTCACTGGGATTACAGGCATGCACCACTGTACCCAGCTCTGTGATAGTTTTTAAGTAACTAAAATAAAACTCATTAAAAGAAAAGGAGCCTTCCTCTGCCCTTAATATATTCCTAAACCAAGAATAGATGCTCATTTATCTGAAATTAAATGCTGCTGGGTAAGAGCTTACTCATTTGGGCTGGATGAAATAGAAYTTTCCCTAGATCAAATCTCAAATTTCCTTCTTCAGAAGAAAGACTTTAATTTGATGGTAAAAGATGAAGGAAGATCGGTTTATTCAAATCGAGGTAGAGGCTAAGGAAAGTTTTCTCCCTTTTCTACCATCCCTCACCCCTAGAAACCAAAAAATTGTACCTTGGGCTCTTGGGGATGCAGTTTATAAAATATGGAATTTATGCATCTTCTCATTTTCACATGACACCTGCTCCAAACCTTTACCTCTGGTGACTAACCAGTATTTTTCAGTTCATATAACTACATTCAAAATACGCTTAAAAATATTGTTCACCAAACTCCCCAGGGTGAAGAACATGATAAAGGTCCGTCCTAGGGATGTCTTGGCTACCACATCTCCAAAGCCGACGGTTGACGTTGTTGCCATGACCAGGTAAATGGACTCAAAATATGTTATATTTTGTGAATTTCTACCTTTGAGCCAGGGATCACCAAAATTTTCCACCTGTTTAAAGAGAAAAGACTTAGATTTCTGAATGGAATCTAAGGGAAGGCTTAGAACAAATAGGCAAGACCTCAAATTAATCTCACTTAATTTCTTCCAAATGAAAAATTAAATGATTCTGAGGCTGCTGTGAAGACTTTGCATATTTCAGGTGTGATTGTAAAGCCTGAGTTCTCTTCATTGTGAATATTGCTGAACCTGAGGCCATGTGTGGCTTGTGCTCTGTATCTGAAATGCTCCATGGAGTGGAGGCCACTGCCCCRTCTCTCTTCTCATGAAGCATGCCATGGCAGACTAGAGCCCAGGGACCCCAAAGTCTCTCAGGTCAAGCAGTTACCACTCATCTTCATTTACTAACCAGATTAGGAACACCATTGAGGAAAAAAAAACATTTTAATAAATGAGTACTTCATTTTAGTGAGCTTAAGTACATAAATACTAGTATAAGAAAAATAGACAACCTTCCCAAGTATTTCCCCCTTTCCTTGCAAAAATATTTCCAGTGATTAAAAAAAAAAAACCTCTGAAAAATATTTTCCTGTTTTTCCCTTGGAGTCTTTACATTTTAAGAAAACTAAATTTATTATATTATCTTTTTTTTCTATTAAGTAAATGTAGTAACAGGCATTTATGAGTATTTTAAATATGTAAAATATAATATATATTTTATATAACATAATAGTTATTATTATGTATTATATATGCCATGCATTTTATATATATKTTTATATTTATATACAATTTATAMGTATGTATAATTTATAAGTATGTATTTATACATAATTGTCCTTTTTCCCTTTTTTTTTTTTGACTTTTTCCCCCTTAGTTTACATATTTCTTAGATGTTTTCCAGCAACAATGATGATAAAATGTTGGAGATGTCTGGAGAAAGTATGTGTTTTGTTATTAAAAACTGGAATTGGGATCAGAAGTCATGTTATTTGCACATGTATTTGATCGATTTTTAAAAGCAATGTTCCAAATACAGACCTTTTCCTAATTTTGATGGGGCAGAGGGTTAAAATTGTTTATTCCTTTAACCCCACACTCCAAAATAGAAAAGAGGATGTAATAGAAAAGATACTTAATTTCCATGGCTGATACTAGATATTGTTGCAACATGTACCAATCTGCTTCTGYTGACTCCTGGGGTCTTCACTATTTTTAAGACTAGTATACATCAGATGAAAGCCAAATTTAAGTCACTCCTGTATATTGGGACAGTTTCCTTGAAGCTTAAACTCCATTGTCTTTCACAACATCTTGGCACAGGGATTCAATATTATCCCTGAGAAATACATTTATAGAAGAAAAGCAAATTGATTTCAATCTGAGAATATCCTTGAAAATAATTTAAATAGCCCTTTAAAATTTAACTCACTGTCTTTGGGAGTATTTTTTACTTCAGTGTTTCAAATCCCTTGCTACTTTCCCAGCATCTCTTTAAATTGCCCGTGTAGTTTATGGGGAAAGAGAGTTGGCAGCCTTAAGCTGATCTATCTGTTCACTATGCTTTTTCTCTTACCATGTTGGCATCAACCCATTAGACCAAGATGGGAAGTAAGTTAAAGTTAAGGCAGAGGATCATGGACCAGTGTTTAGATACTGAATCATTATCAAATTCCATATTTCAAAACTGAATCTCATGTTTTTAAACTTTATCTTTCAGTGCAGTTTAGGTAAGGGACACCACGTAGAAGGAGAATACTAGGATACTTTCCCATCTTCTCTCACCTCTCCACTAACATTATATTAGTTATAGTCTTGTGGCACATGCACATTCTAGTTTGTAACCATAAGGTGTCTGGTTATATTGACTGTCTTTTAAATTAAGTCAGTAATCACTAATGCTATTTTTCATCATGGACTGTCCATTTGTTTTGTTTTGTTTTTAGTTTTGATTCATGACCTTTGCAGCTGCTTTTGATCAGGATACATTTCTGAAAGGGTTTCACAGGTGTTATTTTCCCATGGATGCTTAAAGTAATAAAATAGGTTACATTTTTTTTCACACAAACTTCAAGACATTTCTCTATCATTTTCTGGTATTCAGTAAAGCTACCAAGAAATATGATGCTAGTTTTTTCCCCTTTTCTGTGGGTCTTGCTTTCTTCTGCATAGATTCTCTCCCTTATCCTTGGCAGTCAATGATTGTTCCAAAACATGATTGGAATTAATAATTTAGAGTTGCCAGGTGATGTGGCACATGCCTATAATTCCAGTGGCTTAGGAGGCTGAGGCAGGGGGATCTCACGAGTTCAAAGGCAGCCTCAGCAAAAGGAAGATGCTAAGCAACTCAGTGAGATGCTGCCTCTAAATAAAATACAAAACAGGGCTGGGGATGTGGCTCTGTGGTCAAATACCCTTCAGTTTAATTCCTGGAACCCACCACCCCCCAAATAATAATAATTTAGAGTCATCTTCCCTGGAATACAGTGTACTTTTTAATCTATTGATGCACAACCGTGTTTTCAAACAATTTTCTGGCGCCTTTTTTTTGCATCCTTTCCTTTGAAAATACTTATGATATTTATACTTTGTTGAATCAATCTTGTTATCCATCTTTCATGTTTCTTCTCCACAATTATGTATCTTCTAAATCAGTATTTTTTCTTTTGTCCTGTCATGCATGTTTCTGAACATGTTTGTGTCATTTTATTTTGGTTTCTTTTAATATGATTTCAGCTCTGTAATAATTTCTTCTTCTTTTTCTCTGTTATCTCTCAACCTATTCTTCTGCTCCTCCAATTGTTTAATAATTCCATAGTCAAAACCTTATAAATTATTGTATGAAGGATGATTTCAGTCTTTTTTATAGTTCTCTGCATTTTTTTTTTCAAAATGAGGGATTTTCCTAACTTTTCTTTGTTCCCCTGGGCAAATTATCTTGTAATGATTGGTATTATGTAACTACTATTATAGTGGTATCTCTATCCCTTCCCCGACACCTTGTTATTTTTGACAGATTTGAATCTTAGGTACCACACTGATTCATCTCTTGTTAATGCTCATCTTTTGTCGGTATCAACTTTCAGCAGGATATTGTGAGTATGGAAAGGTGTTGAGTTGGAATCATGATAACTTTTATTTTGATTTGTCATTTCAAACAGTCTCCCAATAAATCTAATGAGCATAGTCCCACTAGATTTTTTACATTTTGGAAATTAGTGTGACTCAAATAGAGCCCTTTAATTCACAAGTCATTTGGTTGCTTCTCCTTTCTCTGCATGCAGCCTTCCTGGAAGTCTCCTCAGCTGGGGGACTGCATGCCCAGTGGGGTAATAGGCTCACATGCTTAGAGAGAGGACAAGCAAGAGACTTCAATGATTTAAGTGGGTCAGGCAGATGCCATGCCCAACCCAAGAGCACCTGCTTTACACAGGGAGCAGTCACTCTTCAGCTATGACTCTTGGTGGCCTTGAGAGTGTGGGGTTACCCCACTCTTGCATTTTTCTAAAGAATTTAGAAATCTGGATTTTTATGACTATGACTCTTGGTGGCCTTGAGAGTGTGGGGTTACCCCACTCTTGCATTTTTCTAAAGAATTTAGAAATCTGGATTTTTATGTGAGTGCTCCATAAAAGTTAGCAACTAATTAAAAAAAGATAGAAAACAGAAAATGAAAACATAATTAAGTAAAATAAAACATGCTGATAGGCACATTAGCTGAAAATCCTCTAATTGGAATTGCCATTGAAGACAACAGGTCAGAATGGCTTCTCCTTCAGCCTTCTAGGATGGCCAGCAAATCTCTCCAGGAACACTGATAATTGCTTCTCCCCTGGTAGTTGCATGACTCTAGGTCTAATTCTCTACACTCAAGGATCTGCCTTTCCTGCTGTGACACATCTTCAAGAAAAACTTTCCCCCTGCTTAAGTGCTAAAGAGGAATGTGGCTGGCTTCAGATTTTTCAAAAGTCCCATAATAGTGTGCATTTAGTATTTAACCTTTCCTGGATAAATTGAGGATGGTAAGTGGTTTGACTTTTTGTTCTTGTTATTGTTATAAATGATTTTGAGAGATAGAGTCAAGGCCACAGGACTGCTCCTATATTTTCTATTTTGTTTTTCTCAAAGGATTAAGGATTCTTTAGGCTTTAAACCTCCCACTTCAATTTTCACATTCTTCACATCAATTTCACATTTGATCTATCTATCTATATATAAATAATTTGAGAATCCCTAGATCTCCATGAAATTTAGCAATAAATTTTACCTATTATGCATAACTTCAGACTTTATTATTTCTTTCCCTAAGAGCAGATTATCAAGGTGTGATCATGATCGACACATATTTGAGATATGAAGGTGAGAAACAGCCCTATATAGGGGTAGTAAAAAGTTAACCCTCTGTTCTATGCAGATTCCTATCCATTTTTTGAAGAAAGGTTGCTGACATTGACAGGCACACTGTTAGGCATCCTGATGCAATGCTTACCAGGTGAATGAATCCTGCTGCCGTGAACCAGGTACTGAGAGCTATTGATAACAGTTTGGAAAACTTCACTGAATTACTAGAGAAAGAAAGACAAAGAGCTGTTGGGTCTCCTCAAACAGGCTCCAAAATAACAAGAAAACCTCATCCTTTTAGATTTTGCTTTCTATTCAAGATTTGAATCATACACCTGAAATAATGACATTCCCAGGGGAAGGTATGACAAATACAGACTTCCAAGCCCCACCCTTAGCTACTAATCAGCATTACTACAAGATTCTTTGCTTGATTCATACATGGTAGAGTCTGGAAAACCCGGCTCTCTAACTCAACTGGTCCTATTTATTTCAAATTGTGAATTTTGCTGTAATATCTATTAGCCTTCTATTATATAGCCTTTAAAAATACACAGCATGAGGATCATCATAAGATCAATCTACTAGATTATTATGTTGTCTAAAGTAAAAGTACAAAAAAATGCATAAACCCAGCAATCCAGGGAGTGGACTTGCAAAATGAAATTTTGAGTAAATCACAGAAATGTAGAGTCCCTGAGATTGCTGAACTCAGAGCAGAATCTTGGAGGGAAGAGGGTCAGAGATCCTCCTGTCACCCCAGGAAAGCCCAAGAGTTTAGCTGAAAACTCTGTGATTTTCAGGCAGCACCATTTGTCACACAAGAATAGCCTTTCCTTCCCCGACTTCTCCACAATGCACAAACTCTTAGCAATGAAATGCACCTGGCTTGTAATACTTGATTTTTCTAGTGAAAATGTAGAAAATATAGGGGTGAGTAGACTTTGAGTAGTTAACAGACCAAACTGCTTTAAATTTTAGATGCATTGCTGCTCAAAGTTGTTTGGATTTTGTTGTTTTTTGAAGATATGTAGGTAGGTCTTCTTCTTTTTTTCCCCAAGGTTGGGGATCAAACCATGCATCTAGGTAAAATTTTACCTAGTGTGCCATGACTTTATTTCTGCAAGCGTAGCTAACTGATGCAAATGGACAACTCTCACCTACAGAGGAACTGTTATACTCCTAAACTTGAAAAAATGCTTCTTATTTTACTTGGCAAGGAGAAACATGATTCATTTTAAAAAAAATGTGTAGAGCCAAAGCCTTTGAATTATTGTTTATTTTTTGGTGGAGGGACCTAGAACAAGAAGTCAACTGGAATTTACAAAAAACAAACAAACAAACAAACAAACAAAACACAGTCTCTTTAAAATGATCACAAAGTTTGGGGCCAGTGTACCATGATGGGAGAAAATGAATAAATAATATGAATACTGAGGGACTTCATGATTTTTACACTGAAATTCTGTTGGGAATTGAGTGGAGCCTGAGGTCCAGTTAACATTTTCCTTCTAATCCAAACTACTAAACAAGCAGTACAKCCAGACAAAGCTAGCATTTACCTTGTCTTGATGGCTTGTAGAATTTGCAAGATTCGGGGGAGTTCCAGTAGCCGCAAAGCTCTTAGAAACCTTAAACCTACAGAGCAATCAAAAGGAGAAAGATTCCAAATGAAGAGGGTCACCCCAGGGAGCAGCCTCAAATGATAACACGACTGGAATTACATGCATTCTTTTCTTCCCTGAAATGTCTGAATGTAGTGTAGTGTTAAGAGGGGAAGAACATGAGCTGAAGTTCAAATCCTGGTCCTGACACTTACTAGCCAATGTCACCCCAGACAATTCTCTAACTTCTATAGTTCCTCATCTCTAAATTGGAAATTCTAATAATATCTACTTTATATAGTTGTAGAGTTAATAGAAAGCATGTTAAAGCATGCCTTCCATGAAATGAGCACTGTTCATTTTACTCTCTTCTTTTGAACTGGGAGCAAATTTTCATCAAGCACTTAAACTCTTGACTATCCAATTTCTATAAACTCTTCAATATTTGTCGGATGTGTTATTTTATGCAGCTTTCTAATAATGGTAGCCAGGAAACTGGTATATGTTTACAGATAAGAAATAAAAATATAAGATTACATGAAAAGCAATTAAAGCTACATACTACAAATGCACTGTCAATGTATCTACTTTAAAGGCAAAACAACTCATTAAGTAATCCCCAAACATGTTGCAGCATGTGTAGGTATGATGATTAGCTTTTGAAAACTAAGGGAGGCTTTTTATCCCAGTGCATTATTGTGTGGATCCCCACACAATAATGCCACGGGAGAATAGGATTCTTGATCTTTTCCTCTCAGATTGTGGCTGTGGTCATTCCATCAACAACAATGGAATGCTTACTCTATACCAGGTACACTGCTAGGTGTTGAGGGCAAAAGTAGATTTCTGTAAACACCATCTAAAACCACATGATTAGGGAGAGGAATTTTTAAAATAACAGTCAGGATTCAAAGAAAATGAAAGATAAACACTTATAGATGATGGTGATAGGTTTTTTTCCCCATTATATATTGTTATTGATTCCAACAGCATACTTACCTAGCCAATTACTCTTCAAGTAATAAGAAATAAATGTTGGTGGGATGGTGAAAATGTCTACAATGGAATTCATCTCCAACCAGAACTTGATCTTGTCATCAGCTGCCAAAAACTATCAAATGGAAAAAAAATTCAAAATTCTGTCATGCTCAGGAATTTTAAAGTGAACAGGAGAGATGACATTATCCAACTGCATTTCATTCATCAACTGAAGCTTTGTTCTTGTTCTATCTTATACATGTGCAAACACAACAAATATATGTGCATCTATAACAACTTTGCATCTATATAAATATATCTTATAGTAGTTATTATAAATGTACATATATTTACATAGATGCAGATATTGCACTTTTAGTGGGTGTTAAATAAATAAACATATATGCATTTTACTTACTGAATCTTAATTCTCACATTTCAGTATAAGCATTTTCACCTTTTTATTGCTCCTAGAGTTTTCTGATAATGAAATTACATAAATAAAACCCCCATTGTGTGCTATGAAGATATATGATTTAGGATGATCTACAATGAAAAAGGTATAGCTTCCTAGAACCTTGGTTGACCATGCCTGTATTTATGAACTTTGCTATTTAGATTAAGAAAACTAGATTTCCAGAGGGAGAGTCTGCTATAACAGAAGATTTTGATGGAAAGTGTGGTGAGAGTGAGATTTATAGGAAGGTAGTAAAAATTCACATCTTCTGTATGTGTATATACACTTGCATAAACAATATGCTCRTATGGATAAAATATGGATAAAATATTTGATTTTATACTGTATRTACATATAAAGGTATATGTATATAGTCTCCCATAATTATGGAATGAATAAATACATTAAAAACTAGAATGAGTACTTACTAAATGTCTATGGAATAAAAKAATTGCTTCATAAATGTGTGTAACATAAGTGAAACTACAATACAATAGTATTTTACATTGCCATATTGCACACATACCATTAGTCCAACAATGGCATCTTCTGGAGATTTTTTCAAGCTCTGCTAGCTTGTGATTATTAATAGAGTTTTCCTAGTGGTAGGTGAGAAAGGAGGACATTGTGACAGGGTGATGGTACTTAATAAAGGAATTGTTTTTACTTGTGTTGGAATTTTGGAACTGGCTTACAGTTTCAAGTGCAGGAGAGAGAAGATTAAGGCCTTATTATATGTTTAACAACGTAGAGAACAGACCCTTCATCTTTCCAGCCTGGAAAACTTGTGCAGATGGTGTAACTAAGGCACAGGCAGGTCTCTTCAAGTTGTTCCTGTTGTGTTTGTGTGTCTACCCACATTTCCCCCTGGTACTTACTCTCAACCCAAAATAGAAACTGAAGAAAGCATTGAAAATCAAATCCACAGGGATTGTTTTGTCTTCATATGAAGAACAGCTTCCAACAGGGCTGGCAAAGAAATGAGGGCAGTTTGTAAAGGTGAACATTTAAAACAGCTATAACTATAAAGGACAAATAAAAGGAGAGGATAGGCAATTTTCTCTTTATTCATCATGAATGGTCAGTTAAGTTCAGATCTGACGAAAATTACCTTTCTCCTGGGAGTACAGCTATGCATAAACAAAACCACTGGACCACCCATGGAGCTAACAATAACAGGAAAATTACCCTCTATTTCTGTCATAGGCTTTATTGGTTTCATTTCAATTTTCTCATTGGTATTCAGAGCCATAAAGATAATGTGACTCTTCTTGGTTTGCAAGACTATCTATCTAGTTGGGATATTTGATAGAATTTGCAAGATTCCAGAATTTGAKACAGAGCTATTCTTTGTCAAGTGGACTAAACTGAACCAAATTCAAAGAAAATTTCCTAAAAGATCTGCTTGGAATTTTACAAAGCAAAGACTACCACTCTCCCTAGGTTCTGTAAAGTTGCCTAACATTTATGGCCCTGCAAATCCTAATTTTATCTCAGCTAAAAATTTGATATAATTCCCAGGTGATTGTCATAGAGTTCAAGATTAGGTTGGCTTTAGTTCAAAAAATAATCTATCCTAATGTAAGAAAGGAGTGCCTTCAGAAGACAGCAGGCCACAGTCTTCTCCTCTATCTGAGGTGAGATCTAACATGTTCCTTACTCAAAACCATTCAAAGTTCTCTGAAATCTCTGAGAAACTCTGAAACTACCACAGGACCTTTGTTTCAACACCTGAGGAATTCAAAAGCTTTCATTAAGTTAATTAAGTGAGGAGAGGACAGCTAGAGGCTTGGTATGCCAAAGACTCTAAGGTTATCTGTGCATACCAATTTCTTCTAATAATGTAGGATGGCAGGATGCAGGGCAAACTCACACTTTTTTTTTTCTTTACTTTGTCTTTCTTTCTTTTTTATTTTATTTTATTTTATTGTGTGTGTGCAGAACTGGGTTCATGCTTGCTTGGGCAYTTAAGCATTTGCCATTTTTTATGAGCTTGGTGAGTGTGTGCACATGTTTGTTGTGTGAAAACATATTAAACCTTATTCCTAAGGARAAAATTCTAGAGTAGATGTATAAGTTATTGATGTAGAAGACAAGAGTAACACGATTTTTACTCACTCAGTAGAATTGATGAAATAGATTATAAGAGACCCGATGCTTAGTACAAACACAAGAATCACCTAGAAATAKAAACAAAGATAGGGGAGAAGGGGAGATCCATTTTATTGACATGAAATAAACCAAATTATGTTGTCTCTTTTTWAAAAAAAATACGTTAAAATAAATTCTATTGTGTATATTTATTGCTAGGTAGAGAGGGGACAAGAGGAAATGTGCTTTCTCTTTTTACCTTGCCTGCTACATATGTGTAACTAATTATTCCCACATTCACGTATGCTAGCCTTAATTAATTAATTCAATCACTCRTTCATCCAAGAAAAATGGATTGAACCTTTTACTAAATAAACATKCATGCACTTTACTTACCTAATATGACTCACACACACTTTAAAATGAATGGTTTATTCTTCCTGCTACCCCTAGAGCTTATCAAATGTTTAATGCTTACCATGTGTTATGTACTTCATTATATGTTAGAAAATGGAGGCTATAGGATGAAGACCCTTGACCTGAACTGGCAATGGTAGAAGAAACAGTTACAAACATATCCATCCCAAAGGATACTCAGAATTTTGGCAGAAAGTGAAGTACTGCAAGTAAGAAGAAGAAAACGAGTGCTTTCAACATACCAATGTGTCTAGCCTGAAATAAGCCAAGCTTGTGAAATGTAATTAGAAAACTGCCTATTCAAAGCCCTCAATGCATTTAAATAAAATCCTTGGCAGCCTCTGTGATTTTTCAGGTTGGCTCTATGTAACTAAACATTCCCCCGGTTATTTCTAGTTCTGAAACCATCCAGCGTTTTAATATTTTCAGACCAATGTAGTTCAATGATAAATTCTAAAATATATTTACAATTAAGGCTTCATTCCCTTTCAGCTCAGATGTTCCCTGGGTAAGCTCCTTGTATTGGTAAGGGGGTGGGGGCTGTTCAGTGTCTTCTCTACTAACCCTTTCTCTTTTTTGATTTCTAATTTTCCACTGACTACACTGCTTTTGGCCTCTACAGAATTATAGGTCAGTGTGTGGGAGGGAAAGAAGGGGAGGTTGGAGCAGGCAATGTCTCACCGGACTGGTGTTAGGTCATGAGGCCCCCACCCTGTAGCTCTCCRGGAAGGTGTTTAATGCCTACTTTCAGGGATGGTTCTATTGCTCTTTSTTGATCCCAATTCAATCCCTACTCAAATTCAGCAAATATTTCTTTAGCTCCTATTGTGACCCAAGTACAGTTCTGTTCATCTGTAAACCATAGGTATGAAGAATTCTGTCCCCATTTAGCATACAGCTTACACAATAAATAAAGATAATTAATATGCTAAACAAACATATGGTATATAAGAAAATAAATGCTAAGAAATTAAAGTAGAGAAATGTAAAGGGGTTCAGAAATGCAAGGGGAAGGGGCAGAGGTGTGGAAGTCTTGATAATATTTGATGGTTAACTGTTCCATCTGTGGTTCCCTTCATTTGGGTGAACATATTCCACTTTCCCACACTGATTGCTGGCAAATCTTTTCTCAATACTCCTCACACTTTGATTTTCTTCTGGAGCCCTTATTCCTCCACATGCCTACTTGAAGAGGTTAGARAAGGCTCCCACTTGTGACACACATGTGGCCCATGGAAGCAAGCCAGCATTCCGTGCCCCCGCAAACACTGATAGGACGGATGATCTCCAGGGTCGTGGCATCTCTGGGACAAAGCAGGTAGCCCAGCAGTCTTTTGTCACAAATGAGCCATAGACCTGTTCTCTTGCAGTGGGGAAAGACGGCAACAGGAGAGGCTCAGGATACAGTGGGAACGCTGTTTTTCAGTGAGAAGGTTTTCAGAGGGAATACACCAAAATTAAATATTAAAATCACAGACACACAGAAATTTGTATGCTTTGAATATAGGATTAAAAAGAATATCTTGGGAAACTAGCTGATAGCACTGTGGTGCTAGTTTACTGCAGAGGAGATGGACAACCTTAWCAGAAAGATTGAATTTGCAAAGAAAATTTCGTATGGGGAACCCAAGGAACAGAGGGGCAGTTTGAACTTGAGTGACCCGGCAGCAGTGTGGCGAGCTGGTATATGAAGAGTGCTCCCTGCTCCTCCAGGGAGGGCAGAGAGCTGAGGAGGGATGCCATATTAAATTGGCCACAGCAGCTTTCTGCTGGGGGAGCCTAGGGATTCATAACAAGCATCAGCCAASTATCCCTGCATGTGCTTGCCATTAGATCTGGAGTCCACCTGGCAGAGCCCAACTGAGATAGGCACAGAAGGGATTGCAGCCAAGGGGACTCAGGCRGGGGCTATGGAGTGGTAGGTATGGCTAGCTTTCCCTTTTGGTTTGGTGGATTGCAAAACTAGCTGGAAAGAAAGTGAACAGGTTTGAACTCTGTATCTGATCCTGGGAAGATGGCATTTATGGGCAGTGGGGTTATGCTTGACCAGCAGAGATCCAGTTGGTCACTTTGCCCCAATAGTGGATTTCTCCCAGAGACCCCTCCAGAGATTGGATGCCCAGCACAGATTGGCATCTGCTCAGCAGAAGCCTGGGTGGAAGTATTTTCTCTAGAGCAGTTRCATAGGACATAGTTTATACATAGGACATAGTTTAGGACATAGTTTGAAAGGTCAGAACTAAATGCCAGCTGCCTGCATGTCACATTTAGAACTCTGCATCAGTCCACCAGGAGGTTATCCACCTCGTTATGTGGTCAGAACTCCAGTTGTCACCATTCTCTATTCTATCCTAACAAATTGGCAAGAAAGGAAACTGAGAGTTACTACAACCAGCCTCAGGTCCTGGCCAATCTAGCAGACAGCTTAGTGAGCAACTAAAAAACAAAAACAAACAAACAAACCAACAAAACAGTTTGACATCCCCCAGCCCTGTCCTTCCTAAGTGTTAACACAGCCTGAGAGGAAATGGAGAAAAGGACAGTGAGGTGCAGGCAGTGAAACCCGTCCTTATGGACAGTTTTGATCTCCTCAGTGAAGACGATTTGGCATTAGGATTTTTTTTTCTTTTTTCTTCTTTTTCCACTGAGAATAAATGGGAGTGTGTGTGTTCTGGTTGTGCTGACTGGCACATTCATATGCAAACATAAATTCATTTATTTTTTTTATCATTTTCTTCTTCTCTTTCCTTATTCTTCTGTCATTTTGCCTTGCTTTAACGTTAGAGGAAAAGGGCTTTTTATTTGTTTTGGTTTTACATTTTGCTTTGTTTGTTTTAGCTCTTGTTTTTGTTTCTCTTACTGCGTTTTTCTCTCTTCTCCCTTCAATTATCCAATTTGCTTGTTCTCTTTATCTTTCTTGTTATTTATTTTTTTAGTTATTTTTTACTCCTCCTTTTTTTTTATAGCCATCACATGCTCTCTCTTTGCCTGCTTTACTTGTTTGCCTTTTGAATATTTTAAAACTTCTTTTCTTCTCACCCCATTTTCTCTTCTCTCTGTGAACCTAATTTTACTATCTTTAGGAACAGTTTGGAATATATAATTCCTTTAAAAATAAATTTAGTTTATATAATTCCTGCCCCACCATTCATGTTGTTGAGTGATTAGTACTGCTGAGTTGAAAACTGCTGTACACTTTGCTAGTGGCTTTTTATTGCTGATGCTGTTGTTAAATGCTTGCCTCGCCATTCCCTTCTGTGGTAATTAATTGTGTATGTGCCATTTCTTCTAAAGCTGTGTACTGATTATTACTATTGCTGCTATTGTTTGTTTCCCTTTTTTCTGAGAGGGGCTGGGAAGTCACTGGTTCACTATGAATTCACAAGGTAGGGCTTCCTCAGCTGAACCACACCTGTAACTCAGCAGAGTGACAGTACACCTTCCTCCAGACACAGACTGATCTCATTCCAGTTTCATCAATGCTTTAACTCATTGAATGGGGGAGACAACCCCCCGCAAATCAATGACTAGGCCCCAAGTTGGAAAACACAAGAGAGGGGCATCTGTCAGGTCTCATTTTTGCCCATCTACTTCTATAGAAAAATGAGAAATATTCCAAAATGATCACTCAAAAAAAGCCCACAGTGTTATGGCAGCTCAATCAGAGTGAGTTAAATCAGYAGTCCTGCCGTGACAAATTGAGGGGTATTGGTGGTTCAAACTAACACTTGAACCCCCTGAACCTACATTTTGAAGTGAAGAGATATCAATAACATAGGGCTTATTACAAAAAGATAACTACATACCAAGAGACCTCCTCACAAAAGAGAAAGAGGAATATATCTCAATAGATGCACAAGTCCCAGACCTCTTAAAACAAGAAGAAACAAGTAAACAAGTCTCATTCCAAATGTTACAAGGGATATGAATAGGAAAAGAGAAAGTCAAACAATCTGTTTAACGATGGCATTATTTTATACTTAGCAGATCCAAAAAAACTCCACCAGGAGACCTCCAGATCTGATGAACACATTCGGCAAAATAGTACGAGCCAAGATAACATACAAAAATCAATTTCCTACTTAATAATGAATCTGCTGAGAAAAAAAATTAGGAAAACTACTTTATTCACCATAGCCTCAAAAAACTTTATAAATAAATCTAAATAAGGATATGAACGAATCCTACAATAAAAATTAGAGAATACTGAAGAGAAAAACTGAGAAAGATCTTAGAAGATGGAAAAATTTACCAGGTTCTTGGATCAGTAGGGTTAATATTATCAAAATGGCCATATGACCAAAAGCATTCTACAGATTCAAACATAACTAGGAAAAAGAGTGATAGAATTTATATGGAAGAATAAAAGGCCCACAATAGTCAAAACAATTCTGAACAACAGGAGTGAGGCTGGAGACATCATAATACCTTATCTCAAATATACTATGAGCTATAATAACAAAAATGGTATGGGATTGGCATAAATACAGATAGGAAGACCCATGGAATAAWCTGGAAGACACAAAGACAAATGGACATAAATACAGTCATATGATTCTTGACACAGGTGCTAGAAACAAATGTTGGAGAAAAGATTATCATTTTAACACATGGTGTTTGGAAAACTGCGTATCTATATATTTATAAAAATAAAACTTGATCCCTACCTCTC